CACCCGACAACAGCTTTGCCAGGACGTGAACGATCCTCGTTGAATCCAAAGGCCGAAGACATATCGGGCACCTGCTGCTGTGAGGCGTAAGGATAACTGTCTTCCGTGACATTAGCAGAAGGATGATGGGCACTGCCACCCGAGTTGAAAACGTGAAGAAGCTGCTGCATGTCTTCGTTTCCGAGCATCTCGTGGCTTCTCAACCGGATTTCTTCAGTAAAGAAGTCGTCAGCTCCCCTATACGAGGCAAGATTTGAGGTCCCGGGAGCAAGGAAACTGGGCATTGAAGACTGTTGTGGGCCGAGAGGCAGCATATTGTAGTTTCCAGAAGGCAGAGGTTGTTGTGATGTGCCCACCGAGTGGTTCTGGAAAGAAGCATCACTCAACATGTTCTGGGGTTGCATCGCAAACCTGCTTCCACTGTTGTCATTGTATCCTGGTGAAAGAAAAACAACCGTAAACTCGGAAATTGGGAAGTTTTCTTCATTCTTTTAAAATTTTCTCCAAATGGCCCGAAAAGTAATTCAGATTTAAACTCGAAAACTCATACTGAGTACAATAGATACAATGTTTTTACCTCTAACATTCAATCCCGGATCCAGAGAAGGCTGCTCGGAAGAAATTGAGGCCGAGAGACTTGGCATATTTAGCTGATGGTTAAAAGAGTTTGAATGGTCTTGAGAGCCAGTTAGGAGGTCATTTTGAGGAGAATCTGAGCTCTTATTCTCGTTGAGGCTCATGAGAGATTTCCCATCATATTCAATAACGTGCATCCAATTATCGTATGCCTTCTTCACTAACGTGTCCACATAGACCTGCAAAATTCCACTCGACATTTGCTCAAGCTTTCCTTTCATGTACTTAAAGTGATCTAGATTTGAATATGAGCTGTTAACATGTAATCATGCTTGAAATTATGTTTTTAAAAAAAAAGAACAATGCTGCAAATTAACGAACCTTTTGATCATCTGAAAGAGAATCGACAGAGTGAAACTCTCCACCAGCAATCAATCCACACAATTCATATATATTGTTAAACACAACCCCGACATTCCTCAGGTCATCGGGATAGTAGACGTAGAGTTTCCCACTTAGAACACACGTCTTTGCATGCTCTACAAGAGCTTCCCACATTTTATTCGACATTCCACTTCCCAGGATCTAAGACAAATAAGACGAGTAGAAGAAAAACTTTGTCATTGGATTTAACAGACCTAGTGCAGAACTGCAGATGCTATCTTGAAAACAATAAAGACATTTACATTTCGAAGCCTCTGTGGGTCCCTCACAACAAGTCGTAGGAAGTCTTCCACAGTGAATATTCCAGACTTATTCAGCCTCTTGTGGAAAGACCCATCCTTCCCTATCTTCTCCAATCTCCAAACTTCATCACTTAATGCAGGTGGGTAATGCTTCTTGTACACTGCATAGACAAACACCGCAGGTTAGGCAACATTATAAATAAAAATATAGGCCCTGTTTAGTAAAAATTAGCCTATCAGCCAATTTTGGCTTATTTGACCACTATTAATTGTTTGATTTGGTTAAAAAATCAACTCCAAAATGCTAAAATTCAAAAAGCTGCTCAAAGCAGCCTTTTCAATTAGCTTCTTGAGAAAAAGAAATTATACCAAACAGCTATCAGCTAAGTTACCAAACACTTTTCTACAATCAGCTAATGTTATCAACTAGCTATACTCTTTAATTAACCCAATCATATAACAGCTAACAGCTATCAGCTAACAACCATTTACCAAACAGGGCCATAATGTTATTTAGTTAGACAATCCCACAAAACGATACGACAAATATGATGTGAACTCACATTCGCCTCTGTGATCCTTGACAGTAAAAGCATCTGTTTTAGCCTCACGAATGTGAATGTCCTCACAACATCCTGATGCAACCTTCAAACCTAGTCTAAACTTTCGGCTTCTGATCCAGCTAGAGTTGTCGGTAAATGTCAACTCACCAAGGGTGCCTACACCATCCTTTAATATCACTTGCGATTCCCCAGCTAGAAGTGGCCTCTTTCCTTCCCGCTCTTTCACTATATGAGACTCGAATTCTTCATGAGTCCAACCATTCTCGTCCTCATTGTTGAAGTCTCCTTCAAGTACAACAACATCTAATTTGACCGACGATTCCGGACCTGATGTTACAACATGGCCTGTATTTCCATCAATCAAGACAATATGGACCGCAGAACCTTGTTCTCCTTCAACCTTCCCTCCTGTAAAGAGAGGCAGCGACAATTTGGACCTGAAATGGAGCTGTAAACTTCTTCCATCTGGCCCTTCCAGTCTTTTTGGAGAAGCCCTGTGAGATTACCATAGAAAATTGGAGAGTAAGGTTACACCAAAACCGCTTAGGCTGTCGAAATCTAAGATGGACCCCACTCTTGAAGAACCGACATAAACCTCATAAAGAGGGGCAAACCAAAACCATAAGCAATGATATGTGAAGCCAAACCTTGCATTAATTTGGGAAGGGCCCAGCTTTGCCAATGCACGTTCCACTTCTTCACTAACCTGTACATAGAAAATAATACACATTGAGATTAAAGGAAACTAAAGGCATGGTTTTTCTTAAGATACATGTAACAATAGTGCTTCACTACTTCCTTCAACTGATTCATGTTTTTGGCATAATTCCTGCTTCTAATTGTTTTGTGAACAAAGGGATTTCATAAAAAGACATAATCTTACAACTCTCCGAAGAATTGGCTCCAGGGATGAACAAAGTTTCTGCAGACTGTCCACCTTAAGTGCCTCAATAATAACACTGCAGTGATGAACAAAGTTTACATTACTATCCACCATGGTAACTCCTCCCATTTCATTCTACATATTCATGAAATGCATCTGAACAATAAAAGTCATAGTCGAATTCTAACTCGATCTAGCCATTCTCCAGTCTTCAAAAAACAAAATTTTCAAGAGAATGCCCAATAGGAGGCCAGATTAAACCCACTCTTTCCTGTATTCCTCATATCCAGCACACAAAGTCCACCATTCTTATAGCTAGCAAACACCCTCAAGCTTATATTGCAAGATTATACACATTTTTCAAGAAATCAATTCAGTAAAACCAACCACAACATTTTCAGTAAATCCCCCAAATTTCTTCTCATCAACTCAACACTTCACAATAACCATACATCCCAGGAGGAAAATGAAGAACACAAGAAAAGCCCTTTATATTTTGGAGTTGAAAACTTCAAATGCTACCTCAGAGGGACCTAAAGTTTCTAAGCAATAAGCAAAGCCCATTCCCAGAAACACAAACCTAACAAGCAAAAAATAAAAAAGAAAAAAACTTGACACACATTGACAAAAATTACCTGGCAAGAGCAGGACGTTTCCTATCGGGTTGACCCTCTTCACTCCCACTACCCGGATCCAGAGCCCGTTTCTCCCGGGCCACAGTCGAAGATCTTTCCATATACCTAGTCTGCATTTTCCAGGAAACACAACAGTGCCTCAGACCACTTCTCCACACACTCTCTCCAGATCTGATCTGAAGCTTCTCGTTTACTCCGTATTTATTTAATTTACTTACAGCAAACAACAAAACACTTAAAAAGAAACAAAAGATTCTCAACAGCAGCAGTGAAAAGAAGATAAAAGAAAAAAGGTGGATTTTGCGCGAAAGGGAAAACCGAAGAGAAAAGGAAAGCGGGAAACACGAATTGAAACAGCGGAGAAGAGAGTTGTTTCTTTCCGGGAAAGTTCAAGGAAGAATCTTGGCGTTATCGTTACCTTTGGGTCGGCTCCACCACTGAGGTGTCTTTATCTACTTTGATGATGCTGGCCGCCTCATGTTTTCTACTTGCAGGTTACAATGGTGGCGTGGCTCCATAGCTATATATATATATATATATATATATATATATATATATATATATATATATATATATATATATATATATCCTGTATCCATATCAGAGCTGTATGTATATGGACGGATATATATTATCTTATATATGCATCGCTATTATATCAGTCACGCATCTATGCACAAATACCTGTAACGCGCTGTTTATGATTATCTATGATAATTTTATTCTCTTCAAAAAAAATTACTATTTCGTCACACTTGTCAAAGCTCGCACCTATAACATAATTAACAATTCACTCATCAATGACTATACAAATTCGTGCCAGTCCACATAAGTTTATAGAGACCACCCTACGCTGGCCCTATTTGATAAAATGGTTGTTAACTAAGTTTATAGAGACCACCCTACGCTGGCCCTATTTGATAAAATGGTTGTTAACTAAGAATAGTTGATAACATTAGCTGATTGTAGAAAAATATTTGATAAATTAACTGTTAGCTGATAGCTGTTTGGTATAAATTCTTTTCTCAAAAAGCTAATTGAAAAAGTTATCTGGAGTAACTTTTTGAGTTTTAACCTTTTGGAGTTGCAAAAAGCTAATTAACCAAATATTTATATTGATATTTTAACTAAATCAAACAATTAATAGTAGTCAAATAACCTATAATTGACCTATAAACCAATTTCTTTTACCAAACAGTACCGTTGTCTAATTTAACCAAAATCGTGTTAGTCCACAAAAGCTCATGAAAACTTTATGTCACACTATTTTTAAAGAATTTATAAAAGTCCGTTATCTTTGATGCATAAGAAATTAAGAATTACCTTCCCTCATGCTACTTAAGAGATGCCTTATTTAACCCAAATTTACAATATAAACTGCCAATTTATTTATTTCCTTCCTCATAATAATATAAAAGACTTTCTACAATTCTACCTAACTTTTAACATTTCCGGTAGTTAAATAATACTATCAAATTTATCAACAAAAGCTACTTAACTTGATTGGCATATTATAAAGTAGACTACTGTGGGTTGGACGGCGCTCTGGTAGTTGATCATGGCCGTTGGTTCGTAGGAACAACCACTGACAGTAGCTCTGATTTCCATGATCATGCCACGTGGGTTCCATTGTTTTCAGCGAAAACCTCGGTTAACATTAACCATGGCAGAATGTGGTCCCATTTCACCATGTTTAGGTGTTAACATGTTCCATATTTCTATCAATAGCTTCTCACCACATCATAATTGAATGAGATTCAATTTGAAAAAATCAGAGGACAAAAAATCATAGAAGTTTACACTAGATAAGGTGGCTCTTTCTGATTTTTTTAATTTTTTTTTTAAAGGAGAGAAAATAAAGCAGGGAAGCCACAGTAAACTTTATAGCTAGTGCTTCTTGTTCTTCACCTTCCCTTTCTTTTTATCCCGCTTGTTCTGTGGCTTTGCCTTGGATTTCCTTTTCACGGCTTTCTTGAATGGTTTCTTCTTACTTACGGGAATGCTCCCTCTGTTACTTATGATTTCACGGGACAGTTCAGGTGCTGCTGGTGGCGGCCTTAGTGCTGGGAATTCTTGTTCATGAGAGATCTCGCTGGTTGTCACTGTGACTTGAACATCACCATTGTCATACATAGTTGTACCTTTGTGACAAGAAATAGATGTCAGTTTAATGGTTAAATTCGGTTTATCTTCACATAAAAAGTTGTTGGCATGTTACAGACTAGTATTTTAGCGTCTTAAGTGGACCATTTGAATCAGTACAGCTTAGTCCTTTAGAAATCTAACTGCCTCTAATCTCAAGGTGCAAGCTTCTAGCTCATAGTAGGAAAAATATGAAAAGACTAAGAAATAGTTGCATATAGAACAGACAAGAAAAGTTCGAGTAATTTCTGAAAAGATCAGCAGCCAAATATGGTGCATAGATTATACAAAGGCATTCTCCCAGAAATAGAACTTTCAGTTTCCGACATTCCGTAGAGAATTGCAAGTCCAGCATGTCAAAATAACAAAAGATTCCTGCTAAGGCATGGATTAAGCAATCTTTAGCCACCTATTCATGACAACTTATCCCAAAGAAACTTTGAATGTGATGGACCAAAGCCCAAAGGTAGGAAATCAATGACTCCAATGCCAGTGCTCTCAGGATTTGTGCTTCCCAAAGTTTCTAAATCTTCCATTAGTCCCATGCTGGCACAGTTAGAAGTTACTGCTACTATTTATTTTACAAGTTATTGTTACTATTTATTTAATACTCCCTATCTTAAAAGGCATGACAATGCCCTGATCATGGGCTAAATGCCTAAATGGAGCCTACTCCCGGGTTCATAACTTTGCCAGTGAAACAACAAAAATGTGTGGAAAATAATTATAGAGTTAGGAACATTCTTTTCAGCACCCATCACTTGGAGGATATATAGTCAGTACATATGAAGTAGTATCAAGAGAATATACAAAGGGAGCAACCGAGCAACCCCAAGCCCCTGGCCAAGTTGGTTAAGTTGTTGATTTGGTAATCACAAGGTTCCAAGTTCAACTCCCAGTAGGAGCAACCTATTGGGCATTGGCCTTCTTGATTTGAGCCGGTCAACTATAGGCAACCTAAGCTGGTTTACCTCTTTGTGGTTATTTCTCAGTTAGGGTCATAAGACGGGGTTTACCCAGTGCATAGTGGCTGCGGGTTTCCCTCGTCATTCAAAACAACAACAACAACAACAACAAAAAAAAAAAAAAAAAAAAAAAAAAAAAAACCGAATATACCTGAAACTGGTGCATTTGGGCCATTTGACTCGGTATCCTCTTCATCATCCTCATCCTCCTCATGTTCAACAGATTCAGCAGCTGATTCAGGTGGGACTCCACCATGGACAGCAAACTCTCTTTCTAGCCTTCTCTACAGAAGCAAGAAAATAGGTAATTCAATCCCATATGATGCAATAATGAAATGACAATGGTGAGCACATATCACTGTTACCTAGGTCGAGATGCACATTCAACCCAATAAAAACGAAATAATCAAGCATGTCAGATGTTAGTTATAGTCATTCTACCGATCTCAACTGAATGGTAAAACGATGAGTAGATATGCATAACTCTGTGCACACACCTAAATATCTAAATGTCATGTTCAATTGAAATTTTTTACGTTTGAACACATTAATTGGTCATTCATATATCTATGAAATGTCAGGAAGACGAATGCAGAGTCAGATTGAGATTATGGAAGTGCAAATCAAGTAAAGAGCAGCAATCGAACCTTTTTACGGGCCTCGATACGTTTTCTCCGTTCGGTTTCCTGCAATTGCTTCTGCGCTTCTTTTCTCCTCTTCTTCTTCCTCTTATGAAACCCGGTCACATATTCCCTGCAATTAATGCAGACAAAGCGATAAAAAAAAACAATTCGAAATTAACAAGATAAAATCAGATGCAGCAAAGTTCCAAAGAAAATCAAGCAAAAATTTAAAAAGGTGCAGGTGAGTACTGGAGGTCTTTCTCGTCGAAAGAGACAGAGAGGGATTTGTTCTTTAGCGCCCTCTTCTTGATGTGCCGACCTCGCACGCTTCCAACACGTTGCTCAGCTTCTTCTGCTTTGCCTTGTTCCATGGTAGCCATTACCGAGCTGGAGCTGAAGCTGAAGCTAAAACCCTACCAAATTCTCGCTGCTTGGGTTTGCTTGCTACGAGGTAATTGAGAGAGTTGTACGTTTACAAATACGATGTCGTCTTGCTTGTCCAAATTTTCTTATAATAAACTTTAAATTGGGTCCCTAAACTCTTGATCTAACTTCAAATTGATCCTAAAAGTCCAATGAGTAATACTCCGTAATTTACATATTATCAACTAGGTTTGGTTTCACTTTGAGCAAATACATTATACCATTTGTGACATGGTAAAGTTATTCTTGAAATTTTATAGCACAAGTATATATATTGTTAGATATGGATCAAAGAGACCAAATGTTATGGAAAGGATTAATTAAATCTAAAGATTCAAGAACAATGGATAATTGAGAAATAATGGAATGGTAAAGTTGGTAATAACTATAGTTTTATTGCTTATGGCTAAAGGTCATAAAAAAAAAAAAAACGTTACAATTCTAAAATAGAGTGTATGTTCTCAATATTATCAAAGTCGATTCCTTATCTATCTATATGGGGTACCTATTTACTTACAAAGGAAATATTTGTCTTTTATCCTTAACTTACGAGAGCTTCATGTTTTGTATGCTCCATCCGCCTGACCTTATATTCTTGTATCGCAAGTAGGGGTTCAGGGGATTTGAGATAGATGAGCTTTCGGCTAAGTGGGCTTCCAACTAGGTGTGTGTGTTCTTTTTTGGATGAAGAGGGAAACTCCACAATCCTTTTGGATGTAGGTAAATCCCGTCTTGTGACCTTAACCTGTAAATAACCACAAGGAAGTAAATCAGTCTGAGTTATTCATAGTTGACCGGCTCAAGCTAATGGACAAAGATTCGAACTCGTGATCTTGTAATTACAACTGGGATTACCCGAATTAGGTAGGCTTTTGATTATTTAGGTTTTCCTTAACTAGGTGAGGCTTTGGACTATATATGGAGAAAAGATCTTGATCCCTGCCTCCTTGGGGATGACATTGGGCCTTTGAGCTACCCAATACCATAACCTCAACAAATACCACTTTTTTTTTTTTTTTTTTTTTGAAAATCAACAAATACTACTTGAACAAAATAAAAGGAGCAATAAAATTCACATATAAATATGACTTGAGTCAATATTACAGTGCAAGTATGAATATTAGAAGGTTAACCCACCAAGATAAGGAGATCTGATCTGGAACACCCATAATACTATAATTGGAGCTTCTAACAACTGAAATGTTACTGCTCAAAGTAAAAGAACTGGCAAATTCTCCAGTTAAGTCAGCAGCTGTGTTTCCTGCCAAAATTGAAAATTGCATAGCTTGCAGAATAAAATGATTCAATAGAGACAAGAGAGCATTGAGAAAGCTGGGAAAACAGGGATAGAAGCACCTGCGTCTGCCTGGAGTTGAACTAGGGTCCATTGCTTGGAAGGCAATTATCTTAACCGTTGGACTACAAACGCCATCAATTTTTGAAGCTCTCGTATACCTTCCAAGTGTTTGATAAAAGGTGTGAAAGGGTTGCTACAAAGTACAGATTTCTTACGATGCCTACCCATTGTTTGATAAAAGGTGTCAAAGGGTTGCAACAAAGCACAGATTTCTTGCTGCGAGCCTGAGGATCTAATCAAGTAATCATCTAATATCAGAATGTCTATTCCCATGGTAGCTTTGACACAAACAGCAAAAAGATTAGAAGCCTGTCAGACAGCCAAGAGACCATCCCAACCATGAACCCATGGCTGAGAACGATCCTCTACGGCTCATCCCAACTAAGGTCTGGAGCTGTTAATCACGCTCTAGTCTCTTAGCCATAGTTCATCCACCAAACTTAGTTTCCTGTCTCCTTAGAACTCAAGGATACAGAGGTACGAGCCTATAAAACAGATCCTGTTCAAGTAAGGTCGTGCTCTGTTGCTTCCTTTTGCAACTTATGTTCAAGTATCCACCTTCATAGGCTTCCGATGTGGGACAATGTTGTCGTGTTTTGTCCAGTGATGTTGTTTCCGTTCTTCCCATTACGGTCCTTAATTCGTTTTGGCCGTTAGGCTTCCTGCAATTGCTTCTGCGCTTCTTTTCTCCTCTTCTTCTTCCTCTTATGAAATCCGGTCACAGATTCCCTGCAATTAATGCAGACAAAGCGATAAAAAATCAATTCAAAACTAAAAAGGTAAAATCAGATGCAGCAAAATCGCAAAGAAAATCAAGCAAAAATACAAAAGGTGCAGGTGAGTACTGGAGGTCAGAGACAGAGAGGGATTTGTTCTTTAGCGCCCGCGCCCTCTTCTTGATGTGCCAACCTCGCATGCTTCCAACACGTTGCTCAGCCTCTTCTGCTGTGCCTTGTTCCATGGTAGCCATTAACGAGCTGAAGCTAAAACCCTACCAAATTAAGTAATAACAGCAAAAACCATGGAGAATGCATTATATGGCTATTGAAGATGGAGGCAGATGGACAAAGAGAGCTAATTTAGTAAATAATGAGCCACATTTGCGTTTGCTGCCAAAATTGAAAATTCCATTACTTGCAGAATAAAATGATTAAATACATAATATCACAGAGCCGGGAAAAAAAAAAACGGAAATACCTGCGTCTGCCAGGAGTCGAACACGGGTCTATTTCTTGGAAGGCAATTATCCTAACCGTTGGACTACAAACGCCATTGTTGAAGGGATCCTCGTGTGCGGATCAAGTGTTTGATTAAAGGTGTGAAAGGGCTGGCCACAAAGCACCACAGTTTTCTTACTGCGAGCCTGAGGATCTGTCGATCTGATAATCTAATTTCAGAAACCTCCATTCCCACCGAGCTTTGATACAAACAGCAAAAAGAAAAAAGAATGGAAGCTTGTCAGACAGCCAAGAGACCATCCCAACCATGAACCCATGGCTAAGAACGATCCTCTACGGCTCAGCCCAGTGAAGGTCTGGAGCTGTTAATCACGCTCTAGTCTCTTGGCCATATATACTTCATCCACCATGCTTAGTTTCCTGTCTCCTTAGAACTCAAGGATACAGAAGTACAAGCCTATAGAACAGATGCTGTTCAAATAAGGTCGTGTCATGTTGTTTCATTCACCAACTTATATTCACGTATCCAGCTTCATAGGTTTCCGATGTGGGAAAAATCTCCGCTAAACATTTTTAACAGTGTGTTGTTTCATTTGTTTGCATTCTTCCCATTACGGTCCTCAATATGTTTTTGCCGTTCGGCTTCCCGCAATTGCTTCTCCTCTTTTGAAACCCGATCACAATTCCCTGCAATTAATGCAGACAAAGCGAGAAAAAAGAACAATTCGAAATTAACAAAGATAAAATCAGAAGCAGCAAACCCAAAGAAAATCAAGCAAAAATTTAAAAAAGTGCAGGTGAGTACTGGAGGTCTTTCTCGTCTAAAGAGACAGAGAGGGATTTGTCCTTGGGTCCCTAAACTCTTCATCTAACTTCAAATTGATCCTAAAAGTTCCATGAGTAATAATTTACACATTATCAACTAGCTTTGGTTTCAGTTTCAGCAAATACATTATATTATACCACTTGTGACATGGTAAAGTTATTCTTGAAATTTAATAGCATAAGTATGTTTTTAGTATGGAACAAAGAGACTCGTGCTATGTTTGGTTCGCACATGAGAATCGGAATCGGAATGAAATCAAATACTTGGTAATAATATGAATTTTAGTGAAAGTGTTTTGCATGTTTGAGGGTAGGTGAAATTGAAATTATTACCAATATTGATGTTTGGTTATGTATGACCCTATAATGGAATTAAGATTTTAAAAATACAAAAATAAAAATAAAAATAATTTATCCTAATATATAATGACATCCAAAACACTAGTATAAACAAAAAAAAACAAAAAACAAAAAAAAATCTAAAAGCATTGATCCAAACTTAAAAAATCATATTAATAATAAGATGAAATGAAACCTTTTTTTTTTTTTTTTTTTAAATTAGGGAATGAAGTTTTTAATTGAAGTTATAATCAAATCACATAATTGTGCTTTAAAAAGTTGTTAATCAAATACTAATTATAATTTTGATTATCATTTTTAGTGTGTAAACTCATGAACCAAACACACTATCAATGTTGTGGGAAGATATTAAATCCAAAGATTCAAGAGCAACAGATAATTGAGAAATAATAGAATGGTAAAAATAGCACTAACTATAGTTGTTTTGCTTAAATTAGTGCTAAAGGTCATAGTGTATGTGTATGTTGTGACGTTTTGTATGTGGGGTCCATATTTATTTACAAAGAAAATATTTGTCTTTTACCCCTAGTTTATGAGAGTTTCATGTTTGGTGTGATCCATCTGCCTAAGTGCCTAACCTTATCTTCTTGCATGGCAAGTAGGGTTTCAAGGCAAATTATACCATAGACCATGATCTACTTCAGATTCTATATGTGTAATTGACACATTAATACATTATATATATATGCAATTAATCGTTTCTATACATGTAAATACATTGAAGGTACATCAATAGTAATTATAGACACATAACATGATAACTACATGTACATAAACTGTTACCCAACATCTTATGTATTTGCAGTTAACCTATTATGTACCTACAATTAACAATTTATATGTATATAATTATTATATTATGTGTTTTACTGCTTTCAGTTTGTTTACTATTAACTGCAAAACATAATTTTTGAACAATAATTCACAATGCAATATGAATCATAATCTATAGTATAACAATTGGGATTTCAGGGGATTTGGACCTTGCAACATTGCAGTCGTTATATTATAGACCGCGGTGCACATGCACCGCGGTCAAAAACGGCGCCGTTTCTTTAAGTAAAGAAACGGCCCGCCGTTAGAGTTAACGGAGTCCGCTTGTTTGGTGTATTAAACACCAACTGACACTATAGTATATCTAAACTGACACTGCAGTTATATCAAAATGATACTGTAGTTATAGTGAAATGAAACTGCAGTGTATATAAAATGAAACTGAATAACATTTCACATATTTGAGTGTATATTGTACAATGAAGCTGTAATTATATCAAAATGATCATGTAGTTGTGTTTTAATGAAACTATAGTGTATATAAAATAAAATTAAATAACATTTTCACATATTTGAGTCTATAAATATCGAATGAAACTATAGTTATATCGAAATGAAACTGTAGTTGTGTTGAACTGAAACTGCAGTGTATACAAAATGACACTGAATAACAGAGTTACTTTTTGTAAAAGAGTGCGAAACGGCGGAAACAAACACTGTTTATTTTCATTTAAAAAAAAGACGCGCGGTGCATAATCGATTATGCACCGCGGTGCATAATATAATTTGCCGCAACATTGGCTTTGGGCTAGGTGAGATTTCGGCTAAGTGAGCTTTTGATTATGTGGGTTTTCAACTTTTAACTAGATGGGGCTTTGGATTATATATGGAGAAAAGATATTGATCTTGGGGATGAGATTGGGCCTTTCAGCTACCCAATACCATAACCTCGGCAAATTATGCTCTGAAACCGTGTCCACCAAACTGTTCATAATTATGAATATATAGTTAAAAAATTATGAACATATAGTTTTATAATTATGAACATAAAGTTGTGAGTATAATTATGAACATATAATTCTGTAATTATGAATATAGAGATTCAATAATTGTGAATATGAAGTTCAAAAATTATGAATATATAACTTTATAATTATGAACATATAGTTCAGTAATTGTGAATATAGAGTTCAATAATTATGAATATGAAGTTAAAACATTATGAATATATAGCTTTATAATTATAAACATATAGTTAAGTAATTATGAATATAAAACTGTGTCTACTTTGCAAGGTGGGCACGCAACATAACGATTGCATAACCTCGACAAATATCATTTGAACAAAATAAAATGAACAATAAAATTCACATATAAATATGACTTTGAGAGTCAAGATTCCATGTTCAAATAGTGCAATTAGGAATATTACAACTTACAAGGCTACCTCAGATCAGACTTTATAATGGGTTACTTAAGATTGTTGAGCACCCTACTATTAATGAATTCAACACGACTAACATGAGTAAAAAAAATATACTTAATGATATATTTGTCAAGAGTCGAACACAACTAAAAAATAAATAAAAATTAAACACAATTAACGAGGGACTAATATCTATTGTTTTGGAGGCAGCGCAATACTTGGAGCACCACAGATTTCTTACTGCAAGCCTCAAAATCTCCATTCCCACCGAGCTTTGATTCAGCCAGCAATAAAAGAAATAGACTGGAAGCTTGTCAGACAGCCAAGAGACCACCCCAACCATGAACCCATGGCTGAGAACGATCCTCTACAGCTCATCCCAATGAAGGACTAGAGCTGTTAATCACGCTCCAATCTCTTGGCCATAAATTCATCCACCAAGCTTGGTTTCCTGTCTCCTTAGAACTCAAGGATACAGAGATACGAGCCTATAGAACAAATCCTGTTCAAGTAAGGTCGTGTCATGTTGTTTCATTCACCAACTTATATTCACGTATCCAGCTTTATACATTTTCGATGTGAGACAAATTTCGCCTAAACTCTTTTAACAGAGTGTTGTTTTGTCCAGTAAATGTTGTTTGCATTCTTCCCATTACGGTCCTCAATACGTTTTCGCCGTTCCGCTTCCTGGTAGCCAATAACAATGACTCATATCTATTGTTTTAGAAGCCAATACATGAAGTGCTCTTTGTGTACTAGTGGTCTTCATCTTGTTGATGAATCTTTGTATTTACGGTACTCCAGGGTCTATTGCTTGGAAGGTAATTATCCTAACTGTTAGACTACAAATGCTTCCTGTTGATGAGCAAATGTATAATGTCAAAGCTTTGCATAGACAGAAACATGGAATTTCCATGGGATTATGCAGCTCCATTTTAAAGCATGAATCTAGCTAACAATGTTGTTACCCACTAATGAGAATCTCTTTTTAAACCTGTAGACCAAGATTCCATGGTCATGTATGACAGCTTTCTGAATTCCCAATAATAGCAGCAGATCAGAATGCATTTCTTGAAAATGTTTTCATCAAAAGGTGTAAACTTATTTGAAAATGCATATACTTTTTTGCACTTGTTAGATAAGGAGATCTAGAACACCCATAATCCATTGCTTGCAGAATAAAATGATTCAAGAGAACTGCGTTTGCCGGGAGTCGAACCCGGGTCTATTGCTTGGAAGGCAATTATCCTAACCGTTGGACTACAAACGCTATTGCGGTCTAAATTTGCTAGTATGCATTACAAATCTTTGATAAAAGGTGTGAAAGGGCTACAAACTACAAATTTCTTACTGCAGCTCTGCGAGCCTGAGGATCTGATAATCAAATATCAGAATGTCCATTCCCATGGTAGCTTTGATACACAAACAGCAAAAAAAAGGAAAAAGGTTGGAAGCCTGTCAGACAGCCAAGAGACCATCCCAACCATGAACCCATGGCTGAGAACAATCCTCTACGGCTCAGCCCAATGAAGGTCTGGAGCTGTTAATCACGCTCTAGTCTCTTGGCCATAGTTCATCCACCAGGCTTAGTTTCCTGTCTCCTTAGAACTCAAGGATACAGAGGTACGAGCCTATAGAACAGATCCTGTTCAAGTAAGGTCGTGATTATTCATCTCCTTCAACAACTTATATTGGGGTATCCGGCTTAATAGGTTTCCGATGTGGGACAAATTTCCATCTTTTAACAGTGTGTTCTTTGTGTTGTTTTGTCCAGTAAATGTTGCTTGCATTCTTTCTGATCTGATCTCAGTGATTTATTCAAAGGACCAGTCAATTGGAGGAATTATATAAAGCAGTTGGGAGAGAAAGGAGCAGACAATCTCAGAATCATGCCTCAACTTCTGGTCTTGATGAAGTTTTGTTATGGCACATCATTATCTCATCCAGAGGGAATCAATGTCTCTTAATCTAATAATAATCTGGTCAACAATTATTCTCTTGATGCCTTCTTTAGTGATGATAAATATAATGCTTCTTATCTTTCCTTTTTGGAAGACTGGAAAAGATAGCTGTATAATGTTCAAGACTACTATATACACACACACATATACAGAGAGAGAGAGAGAGAGAGCAGACTGCAGAGGAGAAGGGGTGGGGGTGGGGGGTAGAGTCCTTAACCAAGTAGGATTTTTTATGTTGTCCTTTACTTTGTACGGTTCCCATTATCCTGCAAGGCAATTCTGTGCTTAAATCCATTCCTGTTTGATGTTACACTTTATCTACCTACCATCCACTGTTGTTTGCTTTGCATGTTTTTTGTTGGCCTGGAGTTCTTATTTGGTTTCTCAGTGACATATATTGGGTACCTTTGGTTATACATGGAAACTAAATTCTTAACAATCTATATTATAACCATAACATAACTCGTCATAAACATAGTATGATTTGTCTAAAATGTGAAAAGATTGTTCAAATCATTCTTTCTAAAATATAAAAAATTGCATCTTAGAATTCCGATTTGATCGGATCAATGGTGTCGAACACTAGCTCAAAATTTTATCGATTGACGTGGACGAAGATGGTCTTACCTAAGATTGTCTTGTTTATTGAGGAATAAATCTATTAATATGAAATTGGAACTTCAAATAACCAGAGTGTTGTTGTTCAAGGTGAAAAATGCTAAAAAAGAATTGATCAATGAAATATTGGGTACTAGCAGAGTAAGTCAATGAGGTCAAGCCAACAAATATTTAAGAATCCAACAGAACAGTTCAAACTTAAAAATCCAAATATACTTTCTAAAAATACATACGTGCTATATATTTGAGATTATTCAGAATTTTCAAATCTATCAAAAATATGTGCCAGTAAACATTAAATAACATGCGTGAATAGTAAAAGAGTTGCCAAACATTCCCAAAAACCCATAACACAAATTGCTACAACTTGTAAAATCATGGCAATTTAGTGGAGTATTATCTTGTCAATGAACTTGTGGTCTAATAACATAAAATGACTTTTTTTAAATAAATCATGAGTTTGAGTCCTAGTGGGGTGATATTGACTATTAGTGGAGTAATATTGACTATTTGTGATTTAGTAGGTAGAGAAAGTAGTTATAAATAAATACTACTATACATTGTAATCATGATTGAAAAGGGCGTTCGAGGACGCTTACTTTAAATAGTGTTGCAAAAGACCCGCTTAGGTACCGATTAATCGGCGCTAGACGCTGGCCGAGCGCCTAGCGTTTCACCATAATCGGTGGTCTAGGCGGCTAGCTAGTTAGGGGGCTGACTAGGCCGCATAAGCACCGCCTATGCCACATAGGCGTTGACCTCTTAGGCACCGACTAGGCCGTCTAAGTACCAATTAGGTCGCCTAGCTAGTCGGCCGATTAGCTATGGTTCTCTTCTTTTTTAAATGGGTTATTTCAGTCAAAATGACATCATTTTTGAGCGAAATAACCCTAAATTGTTCAAACTCTATATGTTTTTAAGTTAATATTTAATATTTTAGTATTGACTATTAAAATATTAAATAATTTATAATTATCAAGTCTTAAAAAATTAAAAAATTTTAAATAAATTTTTAAAAATAAAATAAAATAAATAATACACGGGCATCTAGGCGCCGATTAATCCCCGTTTAGGTGCCCCGAGTGTCCGAAGAGTGCCTAACGATTTTTTTAATCATGACTTTAATAATTAATATTAAGCGGCCTAGCGACGTTTAGGAAGCCTAGTTGACTGACCATCTAGACCATCAATTATAGTGATACGTTAGGTGTTCAGCCAGCGTCAATCGGTGCTTAAGTTGAATTTTTGCAATGATAATAGAGTATTAACAAAAAATGGAGTATTATCTTGTTGTCAGTCAACCAACCAACCTATCCTCTGCTCTAGATTCAAAGTCAATAGGTCTTGCATTGCATTGCATTTCATAGTTAAGAGTATAGAAGGTTCTACGCCCCACGAGCCACGCCCGTCGTACGATCGAGAAACAATAAGACCGCCTCGATTTTAACGAAAACTGATATCAAACATTAAAAAATTATTGGAATGCAGTCCTAGATTTCACCCATAATTAGCTCCCAAACGAAAAACTGACATCTAGATTTCACCCATAATTGACTCCCAAACGGCCAATCCACCGCAATGACGCAGCTATCCTCCATCATCATGATAGAAACCCTAAAATTTACAGGTCGGTTGCCGCGTTAGCCGCCCCAGAAACGACCGCGTCAAACCTGCTTAAAACAGCCGTCTTTTTGGACTCATTTTTTAAGTCAAACCGCACCATCTGAAACCTACGCGTCGCCATATTTCTCTTCAACGGCTAGTTTCCCCCCTCGTATTCGCTGCGGAGTGGCCGGGTATTTAAACCCGAGTTTTGGATTCTGATAAATGTTAAAATTTTATCTGCAGTAACCGCATCCAGTAGTCAAAAATTCCCAAACAGGATACAGATAAAGTTTCTGAATTCGAAAAGTTTTTCAAGACTTTGTGGAGAAGAAGAAGAGATAGTTTGGAGGCAGTTAGTGGTTTCCTTTTTTGGAAAAACCGTTTCATCCATCTAAATTAACTGCTGCCAAGAGTTAAGCTTTGGAATCTAGGTATAAATCGGAGGTTGTGTTGTTGATTGATTTGGGTGTCTGGGTTTGATTGGATTGGGGTAAAGATCAGATCTTGGAATTTGGGTTTTTCCGGGAAGGCGGAGATAATGACTTTGGGGAAAAAGGATGAAGGGATAGTGAGGAGCCATTCTTTTGGGAGGAAAAGGGTGGTTCTGTCAAGTGCTTTACAGATTGATGATTTCATTTCCGGCACAGAAACAAAGAAGCATTGCAGGGAGGTTTCGTTTCCCAGTTCTGACAAGTCTCCTCTGGAATCCTTGCCTCAAGATGTTCTGGTAAGTTTAGAACTCAATTTGCATCTTATCTATATGAATATGAATATGAAGAAGAAGAAGAGTTTTCTTTTAATTTGTTTAGTTTCTTATGTAATCTGCAGATTAGGATAATTTTTGGGGTTGATCATGATGATTTGAGCAGGCTGTTTCATGTCTCCAAGACCATTCGAGAAGTGGTAAGCCTCATCAATTCTGGGAAATTAAGAATTTTGATTGATTGATTGTTGCATTGGCACTGATATGGTTCTTGTTTTTGTTATGCACCAGACAATGATCGCTAAGAAGTTGCATTTTGAGTATAGTACACCCAGAAAAACCATGGATTCTCAAAACCTTATTGGTTTCGAGGATTCTATGGATTACAATGAAGTTGAAGCACCAAATGCTCCAAGACAGACAAGAGTTCCAAAGCTAAGGTTAAGCCATAAGAAGTTGTCTGGGATTGCCGTAGCCCTGTTTCAATGAAAGTGCTGTGAGAATTGCTGTTTTGGACAAAGGTTGTTTTGCCAAACTTCCACTTGTAAATGTCACAGAAATTTCCAGAGGCCCTTCTTCTTCAACATTCTTGTTGAAGACTGGGTTGTCTGTAAGAAAAATGATTTGATTTATTAGCCATTCTGGGCTGCATTGGCTCTTCCATTTTCATGTATAGCAAATTTTTTGAGGCAATGAAATAAAAATGCATTTCTTTTTTCATTCACCACATATCGAAACCGTTCCATTTCAAGAAAATACTGAGATACTTGTCCATTTCAAGAAAACATACTTGAAAGAAACAATTTCATTCCAAGAAAACACAAATACTTGCCATAAATCGTTTCATGTCAAGTAAATACTGAGATGCTTGCTTATTTTAATAAAATATTAAAATATTTGATACCGAAATACTTGGCAGTGTTCATTTCAAGAAAATACTGAAATACCCATACTTAGAACGGAAGTTTTTTAGTTTTTACAGTGCTAATAGGCGGATTTTTTGAGTTGAATTGTCTCACATATAGGGCAACTTTGCTTAGTGTGACAAAGTACCATGTTGTTATACACTAAGAACTTTTAGGATGGGACAGAGAAGGGGCCAAAGCCATGTGAATCTGTGACAAGCTTTTCCCTACCCACAACTTAAAAGGTTTGGTCTTTGGTTTGCTTTTGAATGTTTTGCCCGCATTAATTTCAAACATATATGGTATCAACTTTAATTTAGGTAAACCATGTATGGGGGTAGATGGTTGTAGTTTAGGTTGAATTGATGATGAAATCTTTTAATTTGTCTGCCACAATCAGCTAACCAACACCCATTCCACCACCTATATGTCCATCTACCATGGGGGCCAAACCTCAAACTTTTCACACGTGCATATTTCCATATTGTTAACCAATAACAAGGGCAATCATACTTGTTACAATTTTGGGATTACTTGAATTAGTGATGGAGTAATTGGGTATGGCCCACTCATGTTGGGTTCAACCTAATTTATCTTGGAAGATCTTATTAGTTTCACTTAATTCGATCACTTTAAAAAGATTACACTAACTAGAATATTAGCCTTTATAAAATCTTGTTAACTTAACCTGACTCATATTGAAAAAGGTAATCCATAGTCCTTATCTAGGGGCATCATTGCCTCTCTAGAAGTAATGGTCCATAGCCCTTGTCTAGGCACATTGTGGGTCCTTGAAGACTCTTGTTAATTCGCTCACCTTGGAAGAATTGGTCCATAGCCCTTGTCTAGTGGCATTGTTGGCCCCTCCATTTCAAGAGAAATAGTCCATAGCCCTTGTCTAGGGACATTGTGAGCTCCAAAAGACTCATGTGGTTAATTCACATTAATTAATACTCTAAATAAGTAAATGGTCAAAATTGCTTATAGAAAGAGTAACTGATCAACCAATCATAATTAGTTTTTGGTAGTAACTAAACGCTACAAAAATATGTATGAATTTACCCTCATTATAAACACTAGTGTATAAATTTTAAAAATTTATAAATCAGTTTAAAATATATCTTGCTATTTACCTCATCAAATTTTTGTGTGGACCAACTTGTTGGCCTCCGAAGCATCAATTTTTTTTTTAAATGGTCAAAATTCACAATCATTATTGTGTGGACCATGATCCACACAAGTTGCATGAATCATATTTTGTATACGATAACATAATATATATTCAGTACAAAAATAATTTATATTGTATTCAGGGGATGTACATTATTTTTATATTGAGTATACATTATATTGTATAATGTACATACTGTACAAAAATAATATACATTTAGTATATTAAAAATGTACTTTTTGTTATAATTTAGGTTCACATAACACTGTGTAGACCATGGTCTATGCAATAATTTGCCTTAAACCCATTCCCCTCCCCCACCGGCTTCCATTTCCAAAAGAAGAAAAAGCTGGACACGCTATCTCCAATGAAGATATGGTACGTACTGTATATATGTTTCTAACCTGGCCATTAGGCGCACAAATATTTCAATTTTTTGGGGATTAATTAAGTAGAAATGGATGAATGATGAAATACAGTGCATCTATCCTGTGAGCAGAGGACATCATTTTCTTGAAAGTGTGTACCTATACCTACATGCATGGCCGGCCTGGCAAAGAAAGAGTACGTGGTAGACCAGTGGCGGCAAACAAGAGGGGTCACCACCACTTCCGACCTTTTCTCTTTGTAAAAAACCAATGCACATACGTGTCTGCTACCTTTTTTTCTTCTTCTTCTAGTAGCTAGTTGGATGATGTCCATGGTGATTAATTATGGGTTGGGTTTTCAATAAGCTAAGCTGTTGTTTTCCCTGGGGACACCTTTCCTCTTTCTGCACACCGCATGTTAAGTTCATGTTCATGCCACCCTCTCAATGCCGTGTCCCTTCATCTCATTATTATATGTACCTCGCCTGGTGTTTTCCACTTCCATCATTTTATTATAACCATTTTTTTTTCTAGTTTAGTTCTCAATAATTAATTTGATTATTGGACCATTGATGTAATATCGAGTAACGATTTGATCTAACATGTTTAACTCAATAATATTGGTAGATTTGGTTTGAGAAATGTATGACCCAAACCGGCCGGCCTGATAGTACTATACGTCCAAGCCTATCAGACATGTGGACTAGATAGTATTAATTAGATGTGATCTAATGTGCCACACATACAGTCATTGTTAGCTGTTGTAGCATTGGAGCCCTTACCTGATCATTGTGTCCAGTATTAAGAGTGTGTTGTGTGTAACATAAGACTTAATTACAACTCCTCTTATTCTTCGGCTTTTCCCACCTCAAGTCTCAAATATTGAGTTGTAATTTTCGGAATTCGAATTGTCAGGCTTGAGGAGTTTGGCTCCTCGCCTAGCCAGCCAATCTAGGGGGTTTTTCTTTAATTTCCCCAAAACGCCATTCCTAAACGTTGCTTTGAGCAGACCGCTGTTCCAAACTACTGGTTAACTAAACAAGGTAATTGGCATTTTGACCATGGTCAAAATGCTAAAGATGGTGGATCTGTCAAAAATTTGACGGATCCTCCATTTATTAAACATGGCCAAATGGCAAGCATGTTTTTAATTATTCCCGCAATTAATCATTAATGTACCAAATTGGTTCTCATGGACTATGAGGTGGTTATAATATGATATCTAATATATATATATATATATATATATATATATATATATATATATATATATATATAGTAAAGTGTAAGGGTAGGAATTATAATGAACAAATAATATCTAACAATTATTACTAATTGACAGGATACACAAAGTGGGCAACATGGGAATGAATTTAAGGTGGAACTACATATAAGAAGACATGGGAATATCATTATAGGAAAAATGGACAGAAATGTTGATGTGATGAAAAGGCAAGGAAAAAGATGGCCAGTGGATCAAAGTGGAAAATGTCGCTATAAGCCAAACTAGTAGCGATTTCCATACACAATATATCTATATTTTTTTTAATCACAAGAGAAATCGCATCCATTACTCAAAAGTGTATACTAAATAATCTCGTTCTTATATAATAGTCTACAAATCACATAAAAGAAAAAAATCTTTCATGACAGAATTCGATCGAAGAGATGTTAATAATAATCAAACTCATGATTTTTAAATACAAAAATTATGTTCTACCCACTTGGCCACTAATTTAACACTCTCTAAGCCAAACATCCATACATACTAAAAATACAAACATGTGAATTTATATTATTGTAGAAAATGAACATTTATCTCCACCAAAAATAAAATAATTTCCATTAATTGAGTATAAAAACATAAATTAATATAGATATAACAACAAAAATAAACTTTTTAAATGTAATAATTTGGCAGATGGTAAGCGAATGACTAATACGTACAATCACACTCGCTATATATGTTTTCTAATTAAATTCGAATTAGTTTTATAAATAATATAAATTTTAAAATGAGCAGGATCATTTTCATAAATATTACAAAGTTTTGTTTATTTTCAATCATTATATTTACTAGATCAATGTTTTAAATTAGTCCTCATGTCCTCACCTAAGCATAGGTCATATATATATATATATATATATATATATATATATATATATATATATATATATATATATGACAACACACCAATGACAACAGTTAAATAAAATCGTTGTCTTTAAAAAATTGTTGTCGTTGTGGTGTTTTTTTCTTACAAAATGCACAAAGATAACACACTTATAACAGCGGTTAGGTAAAACCCGTTGTTTTGACAAAAGTGTTGCGCCAAAGACAACAATTTTAGACAAAACTGTTGTCTTCAACTCTTTTGTTAAAAACTATTTTCTTTGTAGTATTATCTATACGCATTTTTGTTGTAATGCATATTCTGTTCCTTACATATTTTATTAGTATTACTAATTCCATCAAAATTCATTTCGTGAATCAAAGTTGTTGTGATTGTATAATTTTTTTAAATAAAAATAAAATAAAAAGATGTCAACATTTATCAAGAAAGCTTTCCACACACGTATACAGAAGATATATTGCATATATAAATATATATCCTCCATCTCCCTGGAGTTTTGATTCCAATCTTTCATGGAGGATAAAGGGAAGCTTGCAGGGAAACTGAACTGTTCCTTCATGGCCATGGCTTTATTCGGGGAAACAATTTCCTCACTGTCTTCAAGCCCTCTATTCTCCGCCATTATCACTCTCTATATGCTCATCCTCCTCTACTTCCCCTCCCTTTTCCGGGGCCTCGTTTTCTCTCCGGTCATCATTTCCACCTCCGTTCTATTGTTCTCCCTCCTCCGCCTGGGCGCCGAGCAGAGAACCGCCCGGCTCGAGCCGGAAAAGTGCTTCGTGTCGGTGGACCGGGTGCCGCCGCCATTAGAGTCTCTGCTTGATTCTTGCAACAGTGACCCGGACCCGTTCTATTCGGAGCCTTTTGTGGAGTGGGACGTGAGAGCTCCGCTGGAGGTTATATATGAAGAGGGAGGAGAAGAGGACGACGACGTTTTGGAGGGGAAGAGAGCGGCGGAGATGGGTGGCGGCGGCGGCATTCAAAGGTACGACTCTCTGTCGCTTTATTATCCGGAAACGGATTCGGATACTTCGTCGGAGGGGGATTTTCCGGTGATCGGAGAGTGGGAGTCTCTGGAGACAATGTGCTTCCGGTGGGAAGAGGAGGATAGAGAAGAGTTGATTGAGATTGAGTTGGATGGGAAGAGGAATATGGTTAGTGAGCTTGAAGAAGATGATAATCTGATCGAGATCGACCTTTCTCCGGCGTGATAATGCTTTTTACGGCGGAGGAACGGTGGGGTTCCCGATGAGGTTTAGCTTTTGTAGTTAAATGAATTAACAAAAACCAATACGTACTTACTACTTTAGGAAAGAGTGAATGAGTGATGCTGCCTAAAAATGTCATTAAGCAATAAGCACTTAATCCAAAGGATTTGCTTATTTGCAGATAGAAATGACCAATATATCCTCAACTTTTTTTTTTTTTTTTTTACTTTTTACTTTTTTTTTTTGTTGTTGGGTGACATGTTAATCAATTTATTTTTGTTTACTGCATTGCTATTCGCCCCTCGCATGGTGAAGTAAATCGAATAAGAGGTCACTCTTTTCATTGAGCACATAATATATGAATATAAATGTGTAGTCCGCGTCACACCATAATGATATTCCTGGTGTGTGCGATGGACAAGACTACTACAGTGCAATATATTTAGCACAAAGAGAGTCAATACTGCATCCACTAAGACTTGAACGCATAACCTCCCATATGAGAGAGCAACTTGGTGCCACTAGACCACAATGTCATTAGCAGCAATTATTATTTTTTTTTTGAAAGGTAACTATTTACTTCTTCCTTTAATTTGTTTTTGTTTTATTGACTAATTTAAATTCACTTTGAGTGGCACTCACATAGTTATTAGCTTTAGCTTCCTTTTCCAGTTTTTTATTTTTTTATTTTTTTATAAACATATATTGTATTTGTTGCATTAACGGTTGATCTTATAATTTATTAATGAAAAATACTTGGTGTACTTCCATTTTATATTCCCAACTTGTACTTCCTCTCACATGTTTTTGATGTAAACATTTTTTCTGTGGACCCACATGATGAAAATAATTAATCCTTGTTTGTCACATCAGGGAATATAAGTAAGGGAGTAGAATATGAGAGTAAGCATAGTAGAACTCTTTATTAATTGCTCCAAAATCTCAATTCACCTAGACAAACTTGAGATACTAATTAATTTGGAAACATTTTTCTGTGGACTCACCTGATGAAAATAATCCATCCTTGTTTGTTACGTCAGGGAGTATAAATAAGGAGAGTAGAATTTGAGAGTATGCATAATAGAATTCTTTATTAATTGCTCCAAATTGTCAATTCACCTAGACAAACTTGAGATACTAATTAATTTGGAATTTATATGCCTAATTAAGTTACAAGGCAACTTGCCTAAATTTTAATTTTAATAATAATAATAATATAATTCCCCTTTTGAGCCACTATTGGGCTTGAAAGTTGCCTCTACAAAGTCTAAAGTCTAAACCCAAAATTGATTGCGGGTTGACTTTTAAAAAAATATATATATAAATATTCCTTATTATTATTTTAAAAATAATAAGGTAAGATCATGCTATATATTGACATACACCCCTACAATTATATCATGTCACGATATTTTTTATTGAATACATAGATTCTTTATTAACTTAGGGTATGAACAATTAATTTACTAGTAATTCTCCTGTTTAATATGGAAGTGACTAATAAAGAGAGATAATATAAAGATGAGAATCATTTCTTAACATGTTAATAATGGGTAAAAAAAAGTTAATTAAACTTCTATATTTTGTGTCAATTTTAGCTAAATCTTTCAATTTAAACAATTCAATATTAAAATTTTTATATCATCCAACAATTATATTCAAAATTTAAAATTGACAATTTAATATCAAACTTTGTATAATATATAGCGGCATACAAATGTTATATAATATAAATATTTGGTATTACATTGTCAAAATTAAAAAAAAAAAATTGAATGTATCACAAACAGGGAAAATGGCACTTTTTCCCCCTATGTTATATACTTATAGCACTTTTTCCCCCTCAATTATTTATGTAAGCACATTAGCCCCCTCAATTATTTTAAAAGTGGTGGTTTTCCCCCCTAATATATTAAATTGACATTTCTACCCTTAAAGTAAACATTTTATTTATTTTACTTCTCCAACAAATTATTGCGTATATGTAGCTATTACCACGGTTCGGTTCGAACTGAACCAGACACTATAGCAATCGAATTAAAACTTTTCAGTTATGATTCAGATCTAGAACCCAATATTTGGATTTCAATTTATTAAATTTAAGAATAAAAAAAATTGGATCATGAACCGGCGGTTCCGGATCCCGTTCGCGATTTTGAACTGCCTATATTTTAAAATTTTATTTTTTATTTTAAAATAGTTTAAATTCAACAATAAATGTATTTTATTTTTTCAGTTCGGAACATGAACCAGCCATTCCAGTTCGCGATTTTAATAAACTCTAAATATCGCGTTTTGATTATAAATTGTAATTGGAATATTTTGGTTTGGTTACTATAGTATCTGGTTTGAACCAAATTATAGTAATAATTTATTGGAGAATAAAAATAAATGAAATATTTATTTTAAGGGCAAATATGTCCATTTAACATTTCAGGGGGAAAAAGAGCCACTTAAATAATTGAAGGGAAAAAAATGCTATAAGTATATATCATAGGGGGAAAAAGTGCCATTTTCCCTCACAAACATAAATAATGTTTTTTTTTTTTTTTAACCGACAAGCCTTAATAGCAATTCCAAGTATATGTTAGGAAGGTGATTGATTGTATGTAAACGTGGATTGAATCGCCTATAATGTTGGAGACCAAATCTGTGCATACATGTGAACAATGAGCCGTCATTTGACCACTCTCCCAAACTTTATTTTAATTACATTTTATACATATTTATAATATTAATATAGAGATTTTACTGGTTAGCTAGAAAATAACGATGTTGTTGCGTACATTCAATTATTTATAGGGTACGTAATTAAATTAAATATTAGTCTAAAATAATAATATTTTATGTTTAATTCCAATGACTTCACCCTTTTATTTCCTTTTTTTTTTAAAGGCATCTATATATTTTCTGTTAGTAAATATTTGTTTCAGTTTACAAATTAGATTCCTATTCAAATTGTTATTCCGTACTAAATTATTTGTTCTAATTAGGATTCAACGAAGAGTAACTAACAATTGAGTTAATTATCGAAATGGTCCCTTGACTATATCAAAATTATCAATTTGGTTCTTAATTATTTTTTTGCCTAATTAGGTCTCTCAACTTTAAAAATATTAATCAATTTGGTATTCTGTTGTTTAGCCGTCATATGTCTGTTTACTTAGAATTAAATTGATAATTTCGCTATAGTTAAGTGACCATTTAGGTAATTAACTTTTCGTTTTAATAAAAGAAATGATGCATGTGATGATCGAAATGATATTTTGACTATAACAAAATTATCAATTTGGTTTCAAGTAAACAGATGTTTGACGGCTAAATAAACGAATGACCAAATTACTTAAAGATTTTTAAAGTTGAAGAACTTAATTAGAAAAAAAATAATTAATGACCAAATTACTAATTTTGGTAATTTTATGAACTGGCAGCGGCGTGTATTTCTTGGGCGTCAAGTCAAGCTAGCCACCCCAGGAATGGTGGAAACAAAAGAAGCGTCGTGACGGCTGTTCTTCCTCCAACCTCTTTGGCAAGAAGTAGGTTTTTCCTTTCATATAATTCTTCTTTTTGATTTTCTACGCATGCGTTACATATTCTCTGCCGACCACAGCTAACCACCTCCTCTGCTTTTTCATTTCTTTCCACAAATACATACGCATATAGCATTCATAGCTACAATATAATATACACTCAGCAGATTTGATCGAACTCGATCTGAAGTTTTGGAAGATCAAGATTCAAGATGCAGAGAGCAACACTGATTCAGAGGTTTTCTAACACCTTCCGCGCCAATTCTAAGCTTTCTAAGCTGCTCATTGTTGTTACTGTCAGGTACTTTTCTTTTGTTATTCTTTAGATTTTTTCCAGTTTTATTTTCATAGCTTTGTTTCATGATGAGTATGTTTTTGTGTATAGACAGTGTTGTGTAACTATCTGCATTCATTTTCCCCGTATAATCTTCTGTGTTTTCCCTTTTGAATCATTGATCTGGTGTATGGTTATGGTTATTGTATTTTTATATACATCTTTGTTGTGCAGGGAAAACTCATATATGTGTGCCTTCTCTGTGTCTTGGTGTTGTGTGTTTTCTCTTCAGTTTTCTTTTTCTAAAGTTGTGTTTTTTCTTCATATATATGGTAGTGGTGGAAGTCTTGTGGCATACTCTGAAGCAACAAAGCCATATCACATTGGTGATGATGTCAATGGCAAGAGAAAGAAAGTGGTGGTACTTGGAACTGGTTGGGCTGCAACTAGTTTCTTGAAAAATCTGAAGGATCCTTCATATGATGTCCAGGTGATATCACCCAGAAATTACTTTGCATTTACTCCTTTGCTGCCAAGTGTAACATCTGGCACAGTTGAAGGCCGCAGCATTGTTGAACCAATTCGAAACATTATCAGAGGGGTATGTATGTTGAGCAGCAAAAAACCAAAATTTTTCTTAAGCAATTACTTATTCGGTTATCCCAGATTGTTCTTAAAGACTGTGGTTGTTACAATTTTCTGCAGAAAAATGTGAATATGCATTACTCTGAAGCTGAATGTGTCAAGATTGATGCAAAAAACAAAAAAGTTTATTGTCGAACTAATCTGAACACTGAAGAGAAGGAAGAATTTGCTGTTGATTATGATTACCTTGTGGTTGGTGTTGGAGCTCGTGTGAATACATTCAACATTCCCGGTGTAGTAGAGAATACCTATTTCTTGAAGGTAATATAAAAAACACTTTTTTTTTGTATGTATTATGAACTGCCAGTTTAGCTTCTCTGATTAAGACATTGCAGTCTGGATCTTCAAAGATTAAAAATGGCCAATTGAATGTCTGTAGGAAGTGGAAGATGCCCAGAGAATCCGAAGGTCTGTTATAGACTGTTTTGAGAAAGCCAGTCTACCTAACCTCAGTGATGAAGAGAAGAAAAGAATGCTTCATTTTGTTATTGTTGGTGGCGGCCCAACTGGTGTGGAATTTGCAGCACAGCTCCATGATTTTGTCAGTGATGAAGTAGTTAGATTATACCCAAAGGCCAAGGATTTCGTGAAGATAACACTGGTTGAAGCAACAGATCATGTATTGAATATGTAAAGTTCTCTTCTTTTTACTCACTCTAGCAAGCTTACTATTGGTTCCTTTTTCCAAGTTTTTTCTCATTTTTATTTTTTCCCCCACATCTAACCTCGATTTCACTACAGGTTTGACAAAAGAATCACAGCTTTTGCTGAAGAGAAGTTCAAGAGAGATGGAATTGATGTGAAGACAGGGTCAATGGTTGTGAAGGTATCAGATAGCGAAATTTCTACTAAAGATGCAAAACGCGGGGAGGTAACCTCTACACCTTATGGAATGGTTGTATGGTCTACTGGCATTGGGATTCGACCTGTGATAATGGATTTTATGAAGGAGATTGGTCAGGTATAAGTATTCTTTGGCTGTTTGGGTTGAAACTTATGATATGTTTCTATATGCTTAAGAATGAATATATGCTCTAGTTATCATCCACTGAAGTGATCCGCCTGTACAGGGCAATAGACGTGTTCTTGCAACAGATGAATGGCTAAGGGTTGAAGGATGTGACAATGTATATGCAATAGGGGACACTGCCACTATCAATCGACGCAAAGTTATGGTAAGCATATCTTTTGTGTAGTTGAGTATAGTAAGAACAAGGAAAAAAGCTTGGCATTGTGTATCTGGAAACATAGTAGGTACTAATTGTGTTAGTGTTTCTGTAATTGAAAATTTATCCAGGAGGATATTGCGGCTATATTTCGTAAGGCAGATAAGGATAGCTCTGGAACATTAACAGTTAAAGATTTCCAAGAAGTCCTTGCTGATGTGTGTGAAAGATATCCTCAAATGGAGCTATACTTGAAGAGCAAACAGATGAGAAGTCTGGTTGATTTGGTGAAAGAAGGAAAAGGGGATGATGTTAAAGAACCTGTTGAGGTTGATATTGAAGAGTTCAAATCAGCTCTCTCCAAAGTGGATTCTCAGATGAAGAATCTTCCTGCCACGGCTCAGGTTTGGTGCCCACAAAGATTCTTGTTCTGGCATTTCAGACAGACAGACATCCTCAGATTTTACTAACATGATGTAATCTCAGGTTGCATCTCAGCAAGGCGTTTATCTTGCAAATTGCTTTAACCGCATGGAAGAGTGCGAAAAGAATCCAGAGGGTCCAATCCGGTTTAGGGCAGAAGGGCGCCACCGCTTCCATCCCTTTAGGTATATGATGGTTTCTATGTTCCCTGCACAATATTGGATTTCCAGAACAAAACATTTTAGTCTGTTTGGGAGGGAAGCAAAACTGTCAAAAGTGCATGGTTTTGGATATCTTCTTTACTGAAAAGTTTGTTGCTTTGCTTTAGATACAAACACTTTGGACAATTTGCACCTCTGGGAGGAGAGCAAACAGCAGCACAGCTTCCTGGAGACTGGGTTTCAATCGGCTATGGAACACAATGGCTTTGGTATTCTGTCTATGCCAGGCGAGTTTCCTTTCCTCATTATAATGTACAAAATTATAATTTGCATAAATCAATTGAAAATTCCTATATCTCTTAATCTTCAGCAAGCAAGTTAGCTGGCGTACAAGAGCATTGGTGGTGTCTGACTGGATGAGAAGATTCATTTTTGGGAGAGACTCTAGCCAACTCTGAGTGAGCTCTTATACACACATCTTATGGACTCTAATGAGAGTTTATTGAGGCATTCTTTCACTTACTAAAACTCAGAAATTCTTTACTGTTATTTTTCCACATTCAATTCTTTCAAGAAACTCGAATTTGCAGCTGATTAGCTCTGTCAAGAACACCTTTGGTTTCCAGTTTTGAGTTTTCAATCAATAATCAGGAAACAGGGAAATTACTTTTTGTTGTCTTTCTATGCAGAATGTTAACTACTTACTGGATGTAAATTGTGCTTAAATCTTCTAAATAGGAAGTCAAATGATCATTATAACAGCATCAGAAATAGACAACCAGAATCTTGATCATTAAATGTTCAGTAGGGAAATGAAAATGCTATTTAGGTTTTCCTAGCTAAGCAGAACATAGTTCAAACGATGAATTGGGATGGATAAAAACAGAAATAGTACTGATATTAAGGCATGATTCTGAGATTGTCTGTTGCTTTCTCCCCCAACTGCTTTATATAATTCCTCCAATCGACTGGTCCTTCGAATAGATCATCCAGTCCAATCACAATGTCTGGCCGTTCCTCAACCAACTTCTCCATGTTCAAACCATCATATGTTTCCAGTCTTGCCATTTCTCTGGTATCCTTTTGTACTTCTTCGTCTTCTTCTTCTCCTTCTGGGATTTTGCCATTTGGATCATAGATTTCTTTCTCTTCCACGACTCCACTGTTATCCAGCTCACTTATACTCTCGAGAAGAGATTCTGCCATGATCTTTGGCAGTTGTCTCCTCGTACCCCCAAGACTTGGGGCATTCTTTATCATCCCAACCAGCTCTTTCGCCAAGATTTCTTGTTGTTCTTGGAGCCGTTTGATTTCCATCAGAATCTCCCTCTGCACGCCTTGCATTTCCTCGATTTCCTTCTCCATTCGAAGAACACTCATTTCTTCTCCATTCTGTTGATGTTGCTGATGATCCTGGCTCCGTGCTGGTCTATCAGTTCGACCACTCCTCCTCCTCCTGATGTTCTTCAGCCAACGCTTCCTCCCCTTCCGAAACCATTCATGGTGAAACTCATACCTCTCCCAGCTCACTTTCTTGAAGCCCTGAGGATTGGATTACATAACAGAACAAAAATGAGATTCTAACTGAGTTAAATTGCAGTTTTCTTGATCTTGATGCTTACATATGTGTTGAGCTGACAGATATAGCTGGAAAAAGTGTTATGCTTGAAGTAACAAGGAAGAATTTCTGCAGCAAATTTATGAGCATCCCAAATAACGAAGCCATTTCCAGTACTGTTCCAAGAAACAATACCATCTGTCTGGTGATTCTCCACCATGGCGTAAGTCTTTCTCACAAAGGGTGTAGGCGAGACAGCAGCCCTCGGTTGGGCACGATCCTCCCCATTGCTGCTCTTCTCACCAGAATCCTTACCAAGAACCAACATCATATGACCATCAACTTGCTTAATTAACTCTTAGCAGGAATACAATACTGAGAAGCTAGAGAACTCAGTTTCTTCTGAAACTCAGAAACTAGTGTTATGAAGTTTTTGAAACTCAGTAACTGTTCACAACATGTTTTTTGTGTGTCCAAACATGGGACTTCTGGAAAAGTAAGTAAACAGAATTATGAATCAGTGGATATGGAGAATTGGAAAACCTGGGCACTGATAGTATGTGGATTAATCCAAGTGGTACAACTAACAGAAGAATAACTGAAAAGTGTGCAGTAAAAAGGACAAAGCTGTGAAGAGTGTGAAAAAAGGACTAAATGGAACCAGGCATGCATGCATAAAGTGATCAGTTCTCAATTTTCATGTGATCATCTGTTAAAATAATCTTGAAAAACAAGAGAATAATAATTAAAGGTTTTAGTTGTCATTCTTTATTCTTGTGTGTAGAGCATATTGCATGCATGACTGTCTTTTATCAGGGTTCGGAACAAGTATGAATATTATTTATCGTGGTTTAAGACGAATTTGAGTAATTTTAAATGTATTCGGTTCGAGAATGGTTAAACTAGTGCAATAGAACATATTGGCTAAGTCCTCCATCTTTATACTTAATAATTGTGATGATTGCGTCACCTCCGGTATTGCTCCAAAGGATCCTTCATTAAGATTGTGTGGGCAACCGTCAATTGAGATACTGTGTAATTTTTTGAAATTTCTCCTCGGGCATCGAAATTTGGTGTCTTCGTAATTAGTCTAGGTATAGCAACAAGCACAATACCACTCGTTTAACCATTCTCGAACCGAATACATTTAAAATTACTCAAATTCATCTCAAACCCTGATAAATAATATCTATTTCGTTCACAAGCACACAAAAAGTTAGCCATAAGACCCCTTGCCCCCACCTTTCAATTGTTATACAGTAGACCATGGTCCAAAAACGACGCTGTTTCTTTAGGTCAGTAACTTTGAATCACTCACAAGTCTCAATCCATATTCAACGAGGACCTTTATCCCAAGCCCATTTAAATCCAACTTAACCTTCATTTCTTTTCTTGAACACTAATGCACTTCATGTTTGGGCTTTTTGAAGCCCATTTTAGTCCAGTAATATCTAGAAGGAAATTATTGTGTAGATCATGTTCCACACAGTGCTGTGTAGACCATAATAAAAAGTACATTTTTAATATACTAAATGTATATTATTTGTATTTAAAAAAATGTACATTATTTATGTATTGAATGTACATTATACAGAATAATGTACTTTTCTTGAATACAATGCACATTATTAAGATATTAAAAATACATTATTTTTGTACTAAACATACATTATTTTATAACATACGAAATATGGTCCACACAATTTGTATGGACCATGTAGAAACTGTAAGCTTGATGTTTATACATAGCAAAGAAGCAGAATATATAGAGTACACAACCAAAAGAATAAGGAACTAGTTATAACAACCTATACAAAGACTAAGTAAACCAAAAGAATAGGCTAGAATAAAACTGAACAGAATATTAAGTCTCAATAGATCATGGTCCATACAATAATGATTAGAAGATACTCATAGGTACTCAATTATGCACATTTTAGGGAGAATAATGGTGGAGTCATAATAATAATATAATGCTTGGATTAAGCCATTATGGATGCCATCATATTGCATTGCAATCAAAATACAATAATACAAAACATGCAATAGTGAGCAGTGCCAATAATTAGTATAAATAATCAGTAACATAGTCATATGATTCGCAGCTAAACTATGTTTCAACCTAAATGCATTATGTTGGACCATTATATTGATTGCAATAATTGTAGTTTAGGTGTGGCAACAACGTAACTCATCTAGTCATCTCCATCCTATTTAAGGGTCTCTTTAGAAAGTAGGAAAATGACTTCTGAAAAATGAGTCATTTTTCAGAAAATATTTTTCTTTCCCGTGTTTGATTGCCTTTTGAAAAACTTGAGTGTGTTTAGTTTATTTTCTAGAAAAATGAGTAGAATTGTATGTTTAAACATTCTGGCGGAACATGACTTCGTCCATATTTTGGCGGAAGTCATTTTCCGCCAAAATGGCTTCATTTTCCCTAGTCAACGGAAAATGTTTTGCATTGACTAGATTTTCCTATTGCATCTAAACACTGAAAATTTGGAAAATATTTTCCAGAAGTCATTTTCCGGGTTTCCAAACGGATCCTAAATTTAATTTGAATTCCAAATAGAAGGACTCATCATTACTCTTACCCTAGGAACAACGAAAGGAGATGCACTCTAGGTGGAGCCCGCCTTGTGACCTTAGGCGGAAAAGGACCACAGACCTATCTTAGGACTATAGTCGACAAAGGACCACTAAAAGGTACGTAAGTCAGACTAGGTTGCCCATAATTAATCGGTTCAAACTAAGAAGGTTAATAATCAACTTTTATGAGAAGTCGAATTTAAAATAGTGTAATTATCAGATCAACTACCCAATCAATTCGGTTGAGGTTGTTCCAAATGTATCTCCATCCTATTTATACATTTATGCTGGCCATATATATTTGGAACGTTGTTGTACTAACAACAAAAGTTACATGGAAGTGTGACAATACAATTCCAACATAAAATGCAATAACTATCATATGCGATCTAAGGCCCCGCTTGGAAGATGGTAAAACAATATGTACTTACGTAGGGTCCGCAGAGCTCTTTTTTTTTTTTTTTTTACTACTGACTCTATTACAATGTAGTATCTGTTCATAACTACTTTCTCAACCTAATGAAGCACAAAGAGTCCATATCGGAGTCCAATATCCTCTAATTAAATATGATTCATTCCTTTTAATTTAGACACTCCACTAATTAAACCACCAATTATTTCTTTCCTTTGATGTGTATCACACCCGCGTTAAGATAAAAAAAAATTAACCTGTGAAAAAGTAGATTGACCTCGCGAGTTCAACTCGTGCGAGCTCTTGGGCTTCACAGGTGGTCTGCCCGAGCCGCGGGCCAACATTAATGTTATTATTATTATATACGTAATTTTTAAAGGTGAAAGGTGTTGGCTTATTCTTATATTTATACTAGTTTTATTATGTGCTTTGCGCGAATATGATAATGCCCAATGGTTATTTTTAAATAAGTATTTCAAAGTATATCAATGCAATATTATATAGAAGATGTTCATGCATAGGTAAATAAATGTTGAATTTGTTTATTTAAATCGATAATTTAAAGTATATAAATGCAAGATAATATATGAGAGATTAATTATATATAAATGTCACAAAAAGATATGTTTGCAACTTTATAATAACGATGGTGTACTTTGTTTTTATGAATGATTCATTCCAACTTTACATACATTTGTATGGATAGTTGAATGGCTATGTGAGTGGAGTGTGATTCTTGTATCAAAAGGTCATGAGCTCAATTCTATTCAATATCTTCTAATCACTTGACTCACAAAGTACAAAGTCATTAAAAATAATATGAACCTTTCCTTTTAAGAAATTATTACCACCAACATTTTTTTATTCCAGTTAAGGATATAACATTATTATGGATACTTTTAAAACACCCATCATTTTAGATCATATCATGTATATTATTATTCATTGTATACAATAAAAATTAATACACTTCCATATTAATAAAAATGAATACTCACTATGATTATAAATAAAAATATCCATTAAAATATATCCATAAGACTCACCAACCCGTATGAGTCAGGTTAAGACTAGACAAATCTAGCCCGTAAAAGTTTAAAAAAATTTCAACCCACATTAACACCACTAGTTACATCCAATTCGTTTCC